AGAGCACCGGCCCTGAAGTCAGGAGGACCTGAGTTCAAATCTGGCCTCAGACCAAACACTTGACACTTACTAGCTGTGTGACCCTGGGCAAGTCACTTAGCCCCAATTGCCTAAAAAAAATGTTTATTAAGCTTACTTTGTGTCAAGCAATCCATTAAACTTGGAAACACCTGAAAAGGTGTGGGCTAGGGTCCTTGCAGGATGGCTGTGGAGAGTGGGAAGGTATGGAGGGGAGGTCCACTGTGAGCTTGAGCGTTTCAGCTTTTTGTGTGTCTGGGCCCCCTCTACAGCCACTCTGGTGAAGCCCATGGACCTCTTCTCAGAATCATGTTATCAAATGTCTAACATATGTATAAATTACATGAGAGTTACCAAGGAAACCAATTCTATTGAAAAACAGTTATCAAAATATTTGAAAAGCAATTTCATGGACCCCAGGGTCAGACCTCTGCTGTAGAGGAATGAATAGGACTTGGTGGTGACTGATTGGATGAGTATCAGGTAGGATTTCAGATTCTAGCCTGACTTTGATCTCTTAAGGATTGCACATTTCATAGCTAGAAAGAAATGTAGAGATCATTTGGTCCTTCTAGTTCATTTTATTTTTTACAAATGAGGAAACTGAGGCCCAGAGAGGCAAAGTGTTTTGCTTAAGGTCGCCCAGCTGTTAAGTAGGAGAACGAATTCTGACACTGCTCTTTGGACTTCTCTGTCTGGGTTCTTGTTTGTTTGTTTAACTTTTTTTTTATTTTTAGGCAATTGGGGTTAAGTGACTTGCCCAGGGTCACCCAGCTAGTAAGTGTCAAGTGTTTGGTCTGAGGCCAGATTTGAACTCAGGTCCTCCTGACTTCAGGGCCGGTGCTCTATCCACTGTGCCACCTAGCTGCCATCTAGCTGCCCCCTCTGTCTGGGTTCTTGCTAGGCCCTTTGACCTTCAACTTTTCATGATGCTATGAATATCTTGAAGTGCAGCCCAGCCCAGCCTACTCTTTGGGGTGGATCTTCTCCTGCCTCTGGTTTTCTCGGTCCTTAGGAAAACAAAGCCATGCCTAGGAGGGAGGAGGGAGGGAGTCAGGAGGCTGGCTCTGGCTAAAGTGGAAGATGAAAGTGGGGGCGGGGGCAGCCCTGGGGTGGTCAGGGCCTGGGCATGAGCCCTGGGAACTCTCTTTCCCAGCAACATAAGAGCCCACTGTGGGAAAATGAAAAGTCTGCCAGCCTTGGAACAGGATGCTGTGGGGGATGGGGAGGACGAGAGGGACTAAAGACAGTAGAGATGGAGAAGCTTGGAAGAAGAGCTTTGTGCTGGGGTGGGGAAGAGAGAAGATCTGCCGGAGAGCAGTCTGGCCATGGGTTGGGGAAGAGAGAGGGCTAGAAGTGGAGAAGAGGCAGGAAGGGGTAACATAGAAAGGGCAAAGACATAAGACATAAAATCTAAAGACCTAGGTTTGAATCCCAGCCCTGTTGCAGGCTCTGCTGTGTGACCTTGACCAAGTCCCTTCAGTTTTCCAGAGCTTCAGCATCACCTGTAATCAATCAGTCAGGAAGTATCTGTTAAGCACTTGGTGGTATGTGCCTGCCACGGGCTGGGGGCTGAGGATATAAGTGCGAAAAATGAAACATTCTAATGGGGGAAGACAGCAAGTAACACAGAAATGTGATGAGGTTGTGCTGGGCAGTGCCCATGTCCCTTTCAGCCCTGAAAGCCTATGAATCTTTAAAGTGCAAGCATGCAGGGGAGGGGGTACACATTTAGGAGGTAGAAGGAGCCTGTCCTGAGGGCTGTGAGCTCCCCCCCCCCCCCCGGCTATTTACTTACTACCTATGGGATGTTTGCCAAATCAATTCCCCTATCCAGGCCTCAGTTTCCTTCTTTGTAAAATGAAAAAGCTGAGCTAAAAGAATTTTAAGGCCTATTTCTGTTTTAAGTCCCAGAGACATGGGATGAATTACCCAAGATCACCCATCCAGTTGGTCCAGGCTGCTGTCTCATTGGGGTCTGCATGACTTCCTCAGGGCTAGTGTGAAGGCATACAGCTCCCAGGGCATGGAGACAGGAAGTGCCAGTGCCAGGGGGAAGGAGAAAGGCACAGAGAGACCACCCCTGTGCACTGGAGCACTTTGCCAAAGGCTCCCCCTAGGTTGCCTTGTTCCCAGCTCAGGCATCTGGCCAAAGACTCCTGCTGTGGGGCAGGGGAAAGAAGCCTGGGCTGAGTCCTGGCTCTGTCACTCATTAGCTGAGGGGCCTTGGGCACATGGCTTCATTTCTCTGGGCCTCTTCTTCCTCTTCTATATAATGGCCACAGATTCAACTAAGCTGAAGGATGACCAAGTGAAGGGTTGAGATCTTGGCGTCCAAGGATCAGTGGAAAGAACTAGGGATGTTTAGCTAGGAGAAAAGAAGGCTGGAGATGGATATGACAGTGGGCTTCGTGGATCTGAAAGATTATCGTGTTGAGTTCTGTAAGCATTTATTCAGTGCCTACTATATACACTAGTAGGCTCTGTCTTTTCAGGTCATTGGTATCACCAATACGATAAACTGTCCTCGGGACACTTACATTCTCCTGGGGCATACAACAGGTAAACAGTTAAGAAAATTTCAGGAGGGAGAGACCTTTAACAGCAAAACTTCTCTTTTTTGTCACCCAAAGGCTGTACAGGGGCCAGACACTGAAGTTGCAAGGAGGCAATTGAGGCTTATGTCCCAAAAACATTCCTAATCATTGGAGTTTTCCAAAAGGGAAGTAGGCTGCCTGGGAAGGGAGTGGCTTCCTGTTCATCACAGGTCTGCCTGCTTGTTATAAGAGATACTGCAGAGGACATAACTGTTCAGGTGTGGGTTAGCTTCAAGGGCCCCTTCCAACTTTGATATTCTATAGTGACCTCCCTGTCCCTGGAAGTATACAAGCAGAGGCTGGATAACTTCTTTTTGGGGATGCTGTAGAGGCTGTGCCTGCACTGGGTGAGAGGTTGGACAGATTGACCTCTGAGGTCCTGGGATTATGTGGGTCTATGAGGTCGCATCTGGGCTGGGTATTGATCACTGGGAAGGATGTCACCAAGACCAAAAAGGGAGCGGATTAGAGAGATACACACAGCAAGGCACAGCAAGGTTGGAAAGTATGCACAAATAAGCACAGGGTCCAGTTTGGGTGGAAGCATCAAGCCAGAATGGTAGTGCAGAAACTGGCTGGGGACACCCTTCAGTGCCCTGCAGGCTAGATAGTCTGTATTTTCTTAGTGGCAATGGGGAGCCAATGAAGGTTTTTTGAGCAGAGTTGAGGGGTAATCAGATCTGTACTTTAGAAAGCTTATTTTGGCAGCTGTATGCAAGGTGGGTGCAAGCAGGGAAACCAGGGAGGAAGCTATTGCAATAGTTGAAGCAAGAGGTGATTGGGACCTGAAAGGGAGGTGGGACGGCATGAGGAGAGGGATGTGATTATATCATGGAAGGAATCAGGTTTTTCCAACTCTTTGGATGTGGAAGCCTAAATAGAGGCAGAAGTCAAAGAGGACCCCAAGACTTTGAGCTTGGGTGACCCAGGAAGGGAGTGCTGATACTGAGAGCCATCACACAAAGATCTCTGGACTTGAAGTCAGAAAGGACCTTGATTTAAGTCCCACCTCTTTTGGGAAGACCCCGGGAAATTCCCCTCTGGGGCCCTCAGTTTCCACATCTGTAAAATGGGAACAATAATAACACTTGTACTATGTCCTTCCCTCCCAGTATTATTGGCACTGAAATGAGATGGTGCTGTAATATCTTTTACAAGCTATAAACTCTAGAAATAGAAATGGAAGTTGGCTCACGTTATTTTTCTAGCACTTGCAAGTTTACAAAGTGTTTTCCTCCCAACCAGCTCTGAGGTAGGGAGTGAATGAAAGAATTGTTATTCCCATTTTATAGATGAGGAAACTGAGAGGTTGCAGGACTAGAAGAAGGACACACTGACAAGTGTCAGAGCTAGAAGTCAGAGCAACCTCCAGCACTTCCATCCAACACTCAGCCTTGCCCTTGTGTACCTTGTGGGGGAAGAGGGGAACTCAGGCTTTGAGAATATCAAGTGGGAAAGGGCTTACAGGAGCCAAGGCAGGGTGGGGTGGGGTGGAGGTGGGGAGATGTCTCCAGATGCAATGGATTATCTCTCACATGGGGGCAGCAGCCCCACATAGAGCTGTGCAGCTCCTTTCTGGCCAAGGCAAGCAGTCAACAGGGACTCTACTCATAATCTCTCCTCCCTGGAATCATCAGGGCTAAGATTTTCCCACAATGCATTCTGTTGCCCAAGGGTGTCCATCAGCCTGGAGGGATGTGGCTTGCAAAGCCATTGGGTGGGGAAAGAAAGAGATATGGAGGCTATAAGGTGTGGTGAGGTTTGGCAGGCGTGGGGGAGGGCATAGGAGATAAGGGGGAATTGGGGGAGAGGCAGTCACATAAGCACCTGGAAGCAGCCTGGAAGGGTCAGTCTTCCTTCCCAAAAGAGGCTGGCTAGTTTCCCAGAACATCAGACTACTTGGCTAAGTTGAACAGTAGGAAGGGAAGGGGACTACCCATATAACCTTGAGGAAGTCACTCTCTGACCCTCAGCCTTCCTTATCTGTAAAATGAGGGGGTGGACCAGATGGCTTCTAAATAAATCCTGTAATTTCTGGTATATGTGTGTGCTGGGGAGAGAGTGCACAAAGTTCCCTATCACTGGAGGTTTCTTTCAAAGGAGTCCTTTGGCCGTTTGTTGGGGATGGTGTAAATCAGAAGACATTCCTCTATAAGTAGGGACTGGGCTCAACATCTCTAGAGAGCTTGAAGGGAAGCAGATGCTTTCTGTATATTAGCAAATGGCCTCTGAGGTCCCTCCTGGCTGGGAGATCACAGCTACTTCCCTGCATGTCGGGAGCGGGCCACCTTCCCCTCCTCCCCACCTAAGTGCCCATGTCTTTCTCCCTTGCCCAGTTGCTCTGTCTCCTAAACCCCATTTCCTCTGTTTGCCTTCTGACTACAGGATGAAGATGAGACGTCATAAACTCTTTCTGACTCTGTGTATGGCTGGCCTCTGCCTCATCTCCTTCCTACATTTCCTTAAAGCCTTGTCTTATGTCACCTTCCCCCGGGAACTGGCCTCCCTCAGCCCCAACCTGGTAGCCAACTTCTTGTGGAACAATGCCCCTATCACACCTGAAGCCAGCTCGGAGCCTGGGGGAGCCATGGGCCCTGAGCTGCTCCGAACTCCACTCTATTCCCACTCACCCCTGCTCCAGCCCCTGCCCCCGATGGGGGCCACTGAGGAACTCCATCGGCTGGAATTTGTGCTGCCTGAGGACAAGGCAGAGTATTTTGTCCGCACCAAAGCTGGCGGGGTCTGCTTCAAGCCAGGTACCAAGATGTTGGAGAAGCCCACAGCAGGACAGCCAGAGGAGACACTTGAGGCTGGAGACAGCTCTGTCTCTGGGGGCACAGCCCGCCGCCCACTGACGATCGGAAACTGGCTGGCTGGGGGAAAACCTAAGGGGATGAGACGTCGGAAGTGGGTGGAATGTGTGTGTCTGCCCGGCTGGCACGGGCCAAGCTGTGGGGTGCCCACCGTGGTGCAGTACTCGAACCTGCCCACCAAGGAGCGCCTGGTGCCCCGGGAGACCCCACGACGGGTCATCAATGCCATCAATGTCAACCACGAGTTTGACCTGCTGGATGTGCGGTTCCATGAGTTGGGGGATGTGGTTGATGCCTTTGTGGTCTGCGAGTCCAACTTCACTGCCTATGGAGAACCTCGGCCGCTCAAGTTCCGAGAGATGCTTCGGAATGGTAGCTTTGAGTACATCCGCCACAAGGTTCTCTACGTCTTCTTGGACCACTTTCCACCAGGGGGCCGCCAAGATGGATGGATCGCCGATGACTATCTTCGGACCTTCCTGACCCAGGATGGTATATCCCGTCTACGCAACCTTCGCCCGGATGACGTCTTCATCATCGATGACGCGGATGAGATTCCTGCCCGGGACGGTGTCCTCTTCCTCAAGCTCTACGATGGCTGGACCGAGCCCTTTGCTTTCCACATGCGCAAATCACTCTATGGTTTCTTTTGGAAGCAACCTGGCACCCTGGAAGTAGTGTCGGGCTGCACAATAGACATGCTGTTGACCGTCTATGGCACAGACGGGATCCTGCTGAGAAGACGACAGTACTACACTATGCCAGGCTTCCGTCAGTACGAGAATCGCACGGGCCACATCCTTGTCCAGTGGTCCTTGGGCAGCCCACTCCACTTTGCAGGCTGGCACTGCTCCTGGTGTTTCACCCCTGAGGGCATCTACTTCAAGATGGTGTCAGCCCAGAACGGTGACTTCCCCCGCTGGGGTGACTATGAAGACAAGCGGGACCTTAACTACATAAGGGAGCTGATCCGTACAGGTGGCTGGTTTGATGGCACACGGCAGGTGTACCCTCCCGCCGACCCCAGCGAACACATGTATGCCCCTAAGTACCTGCTCAGAAACTACCCACGATTCCACTACCTGCTGGACAATCCCTACCGTCAAGCTGAAGGGACTGTGGGTGCGAAGGACAGCATGAGGGGCATTGATGGTGGTGGGGCTGGGCCTGAGGGAGCCGCAGCCAGGGCAGCACAGGCAGGGGAGATCTGATGATATCACAAGGCTGCATGATTTTCACTGGGGGGAGGGCCGGGGTAGGGAAGGGGGAGAGGGCATTGGGATGGTACAGTTGTCTTCTGGGGCTAATTGCTCTCATCCTCTCTCCCTTCTCCAAGAGGGAGCCCCGCATGATCAGAACTTAGGAAGAGGGGCAGGGGGGTGAGGGGACCTTAGAGCCCAGGATGTCCCCAGTACTAACCCCAGGTGAGCCCACAGGTCTTCTTCTTGGAGTCTATGCCCTTGGGTATCTTTTCATTTCTTTCTCTGTGTTGCACATGGAGCTTTTCCCCAGGGGATGGAGGGGAGTTGATTTTTCTGTTTGCAGCTCCATGCCCTCATCCTCCAACCACATTTTGTGGCCATGGCAAGGCAGGTATAGGGACCAGCAGGTAGAGAAGGGGCTGGATACTGGGTGATGGATAGGCAGGAAGGGAATGTAGGGTATGCAGGTGGGCAGCTGACCTGGGGTGGTCTTGGAAGTATGAGTGGCCGGCCCTTGGTTCCCCCCTGGGAAACCACTTTGGGCTATGGTCAATAAGAGGAAGGAGAAGGAAAGACCAGATGCTCTAGAAATACAGTGGGGACCAGGGAAGGGAGGGAGACTTGGGATAGGGGTATGAAAAGGGAGTAGGGGCGGGGGGTGGGAGAGATGTATAATTCCACTAGAAATTAACACAAGGAGAAAGGAGCTCTAGTCCAGTGACCGATCCACAGACCATGCCGCTCTATATTCCAAAGGAGCAGTGGGCAGGGTTATGTGGAACTGTAGAGGAGACAAGACAGAGCTCAGGGCTCATTGCTCATCCCTAGCGCCTGTTGGAGAGGTCTTGGGAAGCCCCTGTCTCCTGAACCTCAGCCCTATTGTGCCCTTTTATCCTTGTTTATTCAGTGGTACACTTTGGGATGGGCATGGGGGGCAGATGGAGGGACCCTTAGGAAATCAGAGGATCCTATCACCCATGTTTCTTGGAGAACTGTATAGGGTCAGGTAGGAACTGGGAGCAGGGTGTTGGGGTGGATGCAGCAAGATCCCCCTTTCCCTTTAACCTGGGGAGGGCCAGACAGAAACACTAGCCTACATACAGCAGAACCCTGTCTCTCCCGCTGATCCCCCAACATCAAAGCCTTCTCTGAGAGAGTGGACAACGGGAATCTGCTTCCCTCACTTTCCATCACCTTCCCCCCATCCCTCCCAACCCTGTTGCTTGTAAACACGTTCTGGTCTTTTTTTTTTTAACCAGAAATTAGGACAATTCTAGTCCCTCAGCTCTGTGCAGTCTGGCCAATCTCTTCTCCGGAGCTCCATTTCCTCATCTGCTAAATGAGGGGTTGGACAAATCCCTTCCAGCTCTGGCATGCCATGTCTGACATCCTAAATATTAGTTGGAGGGTGGGCCTCACCATACCTGTCTTGGACTCCTGAAGGGTGGTCATCTGGAAGACAGATTTTACTTATGCTGGCTTGGTCCCAGGGACCAGTGAAGGGAAGTGGCCAAGAGGCAAATTTAGGCTTCCCAGATTGAGAATGGAAAGGGACATTCAACGACTGTCCTGGACCCCTTGGGCTGTCAATCTGGTGAAGCTGATGGACCCTTCTCAGAATCATGTTCTTCAATGCACAAAATAAAATACATAGGATTGCAAAGGAAGCGAACTATATGGAGATGCTATTACCAAAAGATTTTGTTTAAGTTCACGGACCCCAAGCTTGAGAACCAATCCAACCATTCTCATTGTATAGCTGAAAAAAATCGGGACCCAGATACCTTGAGTAACTTTCCAAGATCTCCCAGGAAGCTAGTAGCAGAATGAGATATGACCCCAGAGCTGCTGCCTCTAGGTGCCATGCTCTGTCCACCACAGCCCCAGACTTCACAATTAGAAGTAGCCCAGAATGGAATGGGCTGCCCCTCACATTGCCCGCATCTCCCAGCAAAAGCCACTATGTTGGGAGAGAGATTTTTCATTAGCTGCGGTGGTCAATGATCTAGGTGACCACTGAAGTTCCATAAGACTCAGAACTTGTGTGATTCAATGCTTCCCTCCCACCCCTTGAAGATCCCACTCATCCTGTGCTTTTCATACTGACCCCCACCCCAGTTCTCCCCTCTAGATCAGAAGGTAATCCTTTTGGGGATCCCCAAAGTTCATTCTCTGTCCTTCAGAGGTACAGTGTGGGGAATAGAGCAGAACAAAGCGCCTCTTAAGGATTTCAGATTTCTAACCCCCAGTGAGTGGGTGGGGAATGAGGGCAGAGGCCAGGCAGGAGGCTCCAGGCTGGGAAGAGGGAAGAATGAAACCTTTCCAATCATCCAGACTCCTTTCATTCCAGGCAAGCCCAGCTTCTAACCCAAGCTTTCCAGCTGGGGCTAAATCTCTCTCTCTGTGGGGGGGAGAGCCTGGGAAAGTGTCTTCTCTATTCCTGAGATTAAAACCAGCCTTTCTCCTCCCTAACTTTGCACCACCCCCACCTCACCCCCACTCCAAGAAAGTTTGTGTTTGTATGTGTGAGTAGATGGCAATGTGAGCACACCAGCTCTGCTCCTAGGAAGCCCTCCATGAATGTGTCTGAATATGTATGTGCGTTTACTTATGTGTATATAGGACCCTAAATTTAGGACTGGAAAAGACTTCACTCGTCATGGAGGAAACGCCCACATCTCAATCTGCTGTTGGGTGTGCCGGGCACATTGTCCTCATTTTACAGATGAGGAAACTGAGGCAGCTAGTGGTTTAGCAACTTGTCCAAGGTCCACAGTATGTGAGTCAGGATTTGAACTCGGGTCTTCCTGACATCAACTCTTGCACACTCTGTACTCATTGTGCTCAGCCTGACTATACTCATGTGTCAGTGGGTGTGCACAGGAGAGCATGTGTGTGTGTGTGTGTGTCTCTCTCTCTCTAGGCTGGTCTAGTAGACAGAGCCTTGGTCTGGGAGTCAGAGACCCAGAGTCTAGCCCGAGCTCTGTCACCCTGGGGTCCCCTGGGACAAGTCCCTTTCTGGGCCTCTTTCCTCGTCTGTCAAACACGGTCAGATGCAGATCGATCCATCAGCTCTCACCTGTGCCAGGTGCACACATCCAAAAGGGCTTTCCCTCACCAAGCTTACATTCTATAGATTCTGTACGAACATAAACATTCTATAGAAAAAGGTCCCTGAGGCTGGGAATCCTGGGAGAGAGAATGAGCAGTGGGTCTTTGTCCGGAACTTTCTCGTGGGTCTCTGTCACTTTGTTCCCTCAGGTCATGGCCCCTCTCCCTCCCCCACATCTGTTGTAAACTCCCTCTCCCTGTGTATTTTCTCCCCCAGGACTCTTCGGTGTACAGTGCAGACCCTCACGGACTTGGAGCCAGGCTTAGAATCCTCATGTGGGGGCAAACCACCTTCCCGCTCTCTGCCTCAGTTTCCTCCCCTGTAAAAAAGGGGTCTGGTCCCTTCCAGCTCCAGATCTAGGATTCTGCTGCTCCCTTCTGCTCACTTGTCCTGTACCCCTCCCTTCCTTTACCATTTCCTGCCCAACTCCCTAGCCTTCAGCTGAGACTTGGTTTTTGGCCTCATGCCCCCTCCTGGGAGAGCAGCATGGTACAGTGGGAAGACCCTGGATGGGGGGTCAGAGGGCCTGGGTTGAATCCTTGCTTTGCCACTTCTAACCTCTGTGACCGGGCAAGTCACTGAGCCTCTCTGGGACTTAGTTTACAATTGTCTGTAAAATGAGGGTTGGAATGATGAGCCTGGAAGGGCTGCTCCAACTCAAGATCTATAACCCTATGGCAGCAGGGGATGGAGGAGCTGGGTCGCTCTCCAGTCCTATAATCATTGCCCCTGCCTCCCTCTTACCCCTTCACTCTGCCCCCACCCCAGGCTGTTGGGGGTGGGGTGTAGGAAGGTCTTGTATGCTACTGTCATTCCTACTGGGAGAGCTCCTGATGGAACCTCGACCCTGGCCTCTCGAATCTGAGCCCTGAGTCCACTTATGGAAGAAAGAGCGAGGGTAGGGGTGGAGGGGCATTTGAATTCTCTGTTACCCCCCCTCCCCCAGGATGTGGCCAGCTTCCATCTCTGAGAAGGGGGTGCTTCTCATTTAGAGGAGTGAGGTCAGCCACAGCTGCTTGAAAAGCAAGTAAGCGCCTTTGCTGGCTGGGCTCTGGGGATCCCCAGACAACGGAGAAAGTCTGCCCACTAGGAGCTCTCATTCGAACTTTCATTTCCTACCTGAGGGGATTAGGCTAGGCAACCTACCTTCAACTTCTCTTCCCGCTCTAAATCCTGATTTCAGGACCATGTGGAAAGTAGGCCTTGGGGAACGGTGCACCCATCCTGGCATGAACCTGGCCTCCTCCCAATTTTAGAGCCCCAGTCCCCTTTCTTTGGGTCTCCAACATCCACCCACAGTTGCTACCACGCCCACCCTTCTGGGGGATTGAAGCCCCCCTGATGAGGGAGCCTGGTTTTAAAATACACTGGTTGGAGGAGCTCTCCCTGCCCCCTGGGCTTCTGTTCAGAGCTCCCCACCCCCACCTCCCCTCCTAGAGATGAAGACACCGGAGGTGGAAAGTGGGGGAGATGGAGATTTATATGCAATACACATACACTGAGGATTGGGAAGAGAATTCCTTCTCCCTACCCCCAAACAATCTGAAGTTACACTGTTGAATCGAAGCCACTGGGCCCTCCCCAATCCCCAGTGACTTGCTCAATCCCCTCCTGTCCTCCTGAGGGGACAGAGTGCAAGGGAACCCGGGGGTGGTGGGAGGAGGAGAGGGAGCTGAGCCCTGGAAACTGTAATTTAAGGAGACCAACAATAATGATGATGATGGTAATAATAGTAATATTTTTTTTTGTAAGGATGAATCCAAATGTACACTCTGAAATCATTTTCTCTGTAAATGGTTGGATTTCATTTCACCCTTAAAGGGATGTTTAAAGGAGAAGATAATATTAATAATAAAAAAAACCCAGAGCTACAAAGTCTGAAGAGGAGTGAGTTTATGTGTGTGTTTTGGGGAGGGGGCTGGGATTTCTGATTATAGGAGCAGGGGAGAGCCTGGAGGCCTAGGAACCTTAGATATGGTTGCTCTGATACTTTCATGACCTTGGGCAAATCACACCCCCTGTGTGGACCTCAGTTTTCTTATCTGTGAAATAGGGATAATCTGAGTTTTAACCAGCTGGAGGTGAGTGGAAGTTTGGCCCAGGGAAGTTACCTGGGAAGTGAGTGGAGTCAGACTCCACACCCTTACCCCTGGCAAGAGCACACCAGGGTTGAATTGTCTCCTGCAGTCCTGATACTGAAACCCCTCTTCCCCAAAGGAAACTATCCCCAGAAACCTGCCAGGGAATTAAGCCTCCCCTTTCCCTCCCTCCCAGGGGTATTGTAAGAATTGAATGAAATGATGGGCTGAAGTACTTTGCATTTTCTCATCAGAGCTGGAAGGGCTCTCAGAGACCATTTAGTCTGCCCCCATTTTACAGAGAGGGAAAACAGAGGTCCAAGGAAGTGCAATGTCTAGCCCAAAGTCAGTAACCTAGTAAGTGACAGAGGCAGGATTCAAACTCGGGTCCGGTGACTCCCAAGGTTAGTGCTCTTCACATGGCATTATGACTTCTAAAATAATCTATTTTCCACTCCAGGACGACAGGTACTTTGAGATCACTTTTACACATCTGCTGTCCTCTCTCCATGAGATTCCAAGCTCTTTGTCAGATTGATTCCTGTGAACCAACTTTGCCTGTGGGTAAATGGAGACAACCACAGAATTATCACTTACCTTTAAAAGAAATTATTGAAGTTCTGAGGGGAAAAAAAGAAAAGAAACCACAGTGAGGGCTCCCTGACCCACTACTCTTGAGGCTGTTTTCTCATCTGTTCAATGGGAAGGATAATAGTTGCCCTGCCATCCCTGGAAGGCTATGAGGAAAGTAATTTGGACACCTGAAAGAGCTGTCCCTGAAGGAGTCAGCCTATCTGGCCCCACTCGATGTCTCTGTCTACTTCTCCCCTTCCCCACCCCCAATCCCATGGTTGACCCATTCTCTGAGCAGAAGAGAAAAGTGAAGCCCAAAGAACTTTCAGCTTGGCGGGCTCACATAGCTAGAAGGTATCGGCCAGTCTCCTGACTCCATATTCTAGCTGGAAACATATGCAGACCTATTTATGTATCTAACACCCATGGGACTCTATTCACATATACACATGTAGGAATATTGCCTATAGGGAGCCAGGAGACACCATTCCTTCCTCTCCTTGACAGCTGACCAGTGGGACCCAGTGTCTGGGATTTGGAATTGGCCTCCAACACAGAACCGTCTTCCTGCAAAGCTAGAGTTTAGCCTCTAGAGAGGGAGAATAGCTTTATTAGGGTGAAGGAGGGAGTTTGGGACAGTGGGTAGCTGTCCCAAGGCGCTGGAGCACAGACAGCATTTCTGCCTCCCTTCCATTCAGCATCCTTTCCTCCTGTCTCTCTCAGGTCCCCTACCAGTCTCCTCCAGGGGAAAATGGCCATCCCATCTCTCTAGGTCATCTCAGCCAGGTGCTATCAAGCCACAGCTGCTATCAAAAATGAGGCACCAATGCCCTCTGCTGGCTAATGTGCATATTTTTATTTTTTTGTAATAAAACTTAGGTCATTAGAGATGCCCCAGAATTTCAGAGCATCGGGGCATAGGGGATAAAGAGCTAGCCTTGGAACTAGAAAGACCTGGGTTCAAGTCCAGGCTCTGCCACATACTGGTTGGGTAACCGTGGGCACATCACTTATACTCTTGGTATTCTTGGCCAGGGCTGACTGTAGTGGGAAGAGGGAGTTTCCTTATTTGGGAGTTCCCTTAACAATGAAATTGGATCCAGTCCCACTCTGTCACTTAACCCTGATACATTTATCAGGTGGGATTGCATTTCCAAGCTTAGACTAGATACGTTTATCAGGTGAGAACACAGAATTCTTCACTAGGGGCAAACATGGATTTGGAGTGACTGAGGGACTTGCTGATGCCTTCTGGGGCCTGCATAAAAGCCATGGAGTTAGTTGGAAGGACAGCCGGGAGCCAGGCTAGACCATTGCAGCAAATCCCTCAGAAAGAAACTCTTGGAGAACAGGCAAAGACTTGGACTTGTCTCAGGACTCTCCCTCTCCTTGGCTGGAGGAGGATGCCCTAAACTTCAAAGGGTCTGAAGGATTTGGAACTTCCCATCTTACCACTGGCTTTCTAGCAATGCTCCTGGAACAGCAAATATAGAGTCTGAATTGGGAGCTAAGGGCAGATTCCAGGTTCCAACAAAGAGGCCAGAAGAAAAAGTGACATCAGCCCTAAGGGGAACATTTTGGGGACACCAAACCAAGGCCTAGAAACTCTGAGTCACCACTTAGCCACAGGGACTCTCCAAGCTTGAATCTACTTTTCCCCTGGACTCTGTAGGCACTTGTGCAGGAAAGTGTGTCACAGACTTTTTTGGGGGCCATGATACTATACTAGTTGTGCTCAGAATACCAATTTAGTCAATACTCCTTTTAGCAGCTGTGTGGCTTCCTAGTTGACATCACTGATCATCAATGGGGGAAGCACACTGGTAGGGGCTTATGAGCCATGGCCTTGGAAAAGAAACCTTCAAGCCCTCAGGGATACCCCTAGAACTTTAAGGGGATAAAGAATAGCTACCTTTGGGCACCTGCCCTGCCAATGCGAGTGTCCTCCCAGTCACCAAGGCTCCCAATCTCTGTCTGTCTCACACACACACATGCACACACACACAGGGTCTCACCCCACATATCCATCCCATTGGCAGATCTGGTCCTCTTCACCTTCATGGCACTCAGCCTTGGTACTGTACCTCATGACTACCCTCTGCCTGTCTGATTGGAGGGCAGAGACATGAACTGCCAATCTCCATGGAAGGAGAGCTCTCAGCTCCTTTCTGACGCGGCTGCCCTACCTTGGCTCTTCTCTGCCTGACGTACACACATACACATAGTATATGTGGTTAGCTGCATCTTGACCTGTCCATCAGTCTGAGAGCAACAAGTCCTTGTACCCCCTGAACTTAGCAAAGGGCCTGGCACACAGGAGATGCCTGTTGCCTGCCTGACTCCCTAAGGACCAGCTGCACAAGCAGGTAGGGAGGTGGGTCTCTGTGGACACGTCTAAACAGAGGCTGGAGACCCTCCTGTTGGGGGCGGTGTAGAGCAGATTCCTGTTCACTATTCATGGGTCACACACAGCATTCAGAGTTGGGAGGGAGCTCTAGAAAGACTCTTTCCCAACCCACTTCTTTGACAAGTCAGAGCGGTGGCTTAGGGAGCAGAAGGAAGGCTAGCTATCCAGCCCTTTGGTCTTTCCATCACACATTCATTCGGCAGCAGCTCAAGAATGATTACAGCTCCGCCATTCCACTAAGATACTGCTTGTTCTGTGTTCCCTTCTAGCTCTGACTTCTCCTTTCCAAAGTCTCTCTCGCCTCCGAGGTTCAGCTGGTCAGTCGGTCAATAAACATTTATTAAGCCTTTCCTAATCCTTCTTAATTCTGGTGCCTTCCCTTTTCTAATTATTTCCAATTTACTTTGCACGTATCTTGCTTATACATAGTGGTTTGCATGTTGTCTCACCCACCCGACTGTGAGCTCCTTTCTTTGTTATGCCCAGGGCTTAGCACAGTGCCAGGTGACTTGACCAGGGTCCCACAGCTTGTAAGTGTCTGAAGCGGAATTTGAACTCAGGTTTTCCTGACACCAGTACCACCTTTCCTTGAGGAAGAAGTGTCCTGATCACTTGATGATGATTGGCGAATCTCCCAGGGCCCCCAATTCTAAATCGAATGCCTTTGGGCTAACTCTGTTTTAAGCCTGTGAACAGCACAGGCAACTAGGCCAACAGGAGGCATCATCTTCCTTCTTTCTTTTCTCCATACAGTCAGGTGGCTACATATACACAGTAGGAAAATATAGAAACCAGCTGCTGCTAAGTTAGGGTATAGGCAAAAGAGCACTTAACCCATTCAGACTCCTAAACTTTTCTGCCCAGTTGTGGGTACCAATCAACCTATCTCTCCTCCAAGTACCAGATTTAATGCTCCTGACATCTTAAGACAGGCACTCAACTTTTAGGTATACTGTATGCCCTGCCACAAATCCTGTTTAGCTACAGAGCGAATATAAGGTCAGCTTTATCTCTGGTCTTTTGGGTAATTGTATTTGGAGTTCCCTGGCCGGGGAGGGGGGGCGGTTAGGAGCATGTCTGTTTTGCAGGCTGCATTTCCAAGAGTCAATGGTTAATGCAGTTACAAGCTATCTCTATGTTGCAACAATCTTCTCTCAGACCCTAGCTCAGACCTGGCTCCTCTTGTAACAACTTAATTTCCAAATGGATTGTTTTGCTGGCAATCCAGTCCTCCTTACATTTCATTATTGCCCGGCAGATTCTCAACCTTTTCATCCTCCATATGAATTTCTTTAAGATTTTGGATTCATATAGTTCTTGGACGCATCTTGGTACATACAATTTCCAATGTTTCATGACTTCTGTAGCTATTTTGAATGGAATTTGTTTTTCTAGCTCTTCCTGCTGAGTTTTGTTGGTAATATATAGCAATACTGATGAGTTATGTAAATTTATCGTATGCCCTGAAACTTTGAGAAATTTATTGTTTCAATTACTTTTTGGTTGCCTCTTTAGGGTTTTCTAACGAAATTATTGTATCATCTGCAAATTTCTGTGGCTAACATTTGGGAGGGACCCTGACTCTCTCCCCTCTTTGCCTCTCTACCCCTTATTCTTACCTTGATAAGTGCCTTCATTTTTCTGCTTTGGATTGTACTACTCCATTCATTCTGCTAGTTTCCTTGGAAACCAACACCTAAGTCAAACTAGTCTTTCCCAAGACCTGTTATCAAAGACTAGTTTGAAGTCGATCAGACGACTCATGTGCAGAGGAGTTTCCCAATGGTATCTGAGAAAATTTTGTAGGATTTCTCCCTGGTTGCC